TCCCTTTTCTAGGCCTTGGAGGGGATCTTTTACCACACCCGTTTCTTGGCTGTGTACTCTACCAGGGTCCTGGTGCTGGAAGAGGCTCTGTGCCCCAAGGTCTGGAATCACCCAACCTGGACTGGCCTAGGCCAATGTTCCAGATGAATTATGTGCACATTAGTGAGGGCATTTCTGGAACAAACTATATTCTGAATGTATCAAGCATCTGAGGTTTAAGACATTGAGCAGGGAGTTGTCAAATGGGATGGTGCTGGCAAGAGGATGTTCGCTGCCCTGGTACTGCCCTGGCACTGACCAGTGTGGGAAGCCTGGGGAGGACACTGCACCCAGCCAGCGCAAGTCACACTCTGTCCAGACTCGGAACACCCTCGACATCACCGTGCCTCCATCCAAACCCCAGCCCCGGACTGGAAGAGACGCTCCCCTAGACAATGTTGATAAAAGCTCATGTTATGAACAGTTTAAACGTTTAGAAAGGTAAAACGGCTAAATATTCAACAGACTGAAAGGCTATTTTTGCTACATTTACCTGATGGAAGCCCAGATAGTCCACGATCGTTGCTGAGGCATAAAATATCATCCCTTCTGCACTCACGACCAGAGCAAAGCCATTGAGAGACTAGAAAAAAACAAAAAAACAAAATGAAAACGTGCAAGCATTGTTTATGTTTAAATCTCCAACCATTCTTCCCACTTTGTAGTCCTTATTCACAGCCTCCAGAAATGCCCACTTTTAACTTATTACCACTTTGTAACAGGACCCAAGTTAGGAGGTGACATTCTAATGAATGTAAAATTGACATTTTGTAAAATATTAACATCGCCTTGAGAAGATAATGAGATGCATCAGTACGTGACACAGGAATCTTTTTCTTTGCTCTGCGTGCACTCNTTTTTTTTTTTTTTTTTTTTTTTGTCTTTTTTCCGTGTCCGGCAACGGATTGCAACCCTCACTGTTGCCCCCGTACCGGACCGGGGACCGGCAACGGGATCGCAGCCCTTGGCGTTGCTCCCGTGCCTCGCTCAGCCAGTGAGCGGGAACCGGTCTGCATGTGGGATCCGAACCCTCGGGCGGGAGCGCTATCCAGTGCGCCACCGGGCCGGCCCAAGGAGGTGACATTCTAATGAATGTAAAATTGACATTTTGTAAAATATTAACATCGCCTTGACAAGATAATGAGATGCATCAGTACGTGACACAGGAATCTTTTTCTTTGCTCTGCGTGCACTCTCCCCGTCATGCACCTTCTTCTGGACACTATTTTGGTTTTTCCAAGAGTTTTCATCACGAGAAATACTGAACTCCATCAAGTGCTTTTCTGTACCTACTGAAATAATTACATAATTTTTCTTTTGTCTATTAATTGATAGGTTTTCTGATGATAGATCATTCTTGCATTCATGGGGAAACCCAATCTCATCATGTCCTTTAATATGTTCTCAGAACTGATCAATTTCACTCATTTACTTCTTCACTGTGTGTGAAGTTTCTCTACCCGTCTGGCGCTGAGTGACACAACTGCCACCACGTGCAGGTTCCTCCCCTACTCTTCCGTTCTCTGACCTGCACATCTAAGGTGGGGATGATGCATTCCCTCAAAGTCTGGCTCACCTCACCTTGATGATCATCCACTTTGGGCACATTTGGGGGAGATGAGGGGTGAAAAGATGATTTTAATACCATGTCAATTTATTTATGGTTGTTAGTGTAAAATTTTTAGTTTTTTCTTACATCAACTATGGCATCTTGAAATATTTTCCAGAAATGCACCCATCTTGTCTTGATTTTAAATTTATTACTGTATGTTCACAATATTTTTATGATTATTAAATCTCAGTTTTATCTGTATTTACTGTGGGATTTAGGGGTGTGGAGAAAAGTAAGGCATGTGGCTATGCTGTGCTTGAATTAAAGTCTTCCTGTACTTGAAAAGTAAGGAGGACCCATCCCACAGTGGCTTCTAGAACCATTAGCAGGGAAGACAGACAGGAGACCACAGCCAGTACCTCACATGGCCAGTTGAGTGTCCTCTCCATCCATCCATCCATCCATCCATCCATCCATCCATCCATCCATCCATCCACNTTTTTTTTTTTTTAAAGATGACCGGTAAGGGGACCTTAACCTTTGACTTGGTGTTGTCAGCTCCACACTGTCCTGAGCCATGGGCCGGCCCTGTTATCTATTTGTCTGTCTATCCATTCATCATATCTATCATCTATCTCTCATCTGTCAATTATCTATCTATCTATCCATCTCTATATCTGTCATCTGTCCATCTGTGTACTTATCTGTCTACCTGTCTCCACCACCACCACAGTAATGACAATGGCAGCTGATGCTGGTGGCCCCAGAAGCATCGGACACTCTAAGTGGAGCACCTCACTCGACCTCACGTCACGCCCATGAGGTAGGACGGTTCTGTCTCCACTTGGCCAGGGCAGAAGGTGGAGGTGAGGGGGTTAGGTCACCTGGATGGAGACGTTCATTAATATTTCAATGTGTGTCTTAGATAAACACAGACAACATCCAGAGACTCCACATTCACCTCCACGAAGCTGCGGCTGTCCGCAGTCTGCCACGGCACTCACCTCCCTTAAGTCTCTGTCACGCAGGGCACTTGTTTCTTTTTGTTTTTAATTCTTTGTCAATTTGATAAGTGGTAGATTATTTTACCGTCACAGTTTTCATTTCTTTGGTCACTAGTGAGGTTGAAGAGCATTTCATGCATTCATTGGTCACTTGTATTTCTTTGGTAAACTGCCCGTGCATGTCATGTGCTAATTTTTCTATTAGGGTTCATG